TGATAAGAGAGTGTCCGGTGAGGTCGTCTAGATTGACTCTGGCGCATGCAGATAGGCAGATGATGGAATGCAGTCGCTCTGGTTGGACGAGGAGGAGGAGGGGAGACAAGGTGCGCGCCTGCTGATGACTGTTAGGGTTCTCACAACTGCTCTCCCAGGGCGAAATCAAATTGGACACCAGCGATTGGCGCACTGCTGTGACCGAAAGGGTCCTGCGAAGGTGCGATTTGGCCGTACTGGACAGGGCGCACACGTCTTGCTGCCTTTCGTCGAGCATGCATGTTCCCACCGCCGGTTCGTCGCGCGGCTCCCCTCATTGCGGGGCGAGTGGCTCGCAGCATATGGCGGCAAAGGCAGCGAGACCGCCAAGGTCATCATGGCCGACCCTTCTGGTCAAGCCAAGATTGTCCATTGCCGCCGGACGCCCAGTTCCTTTGGCGACGCCACAGGACCGCTCCGGTGATGGACATGCTCGGCGGCCGACATCACAGCCTTCAAAAGCTTTCGTCCCTCCTTCGCATCATGTCTCACGACTGCAACGCATTCATCGCGATCTACTCCGTCTGGACCACCCTCGAACACAGCTGCTTACGGGTCTGCACACCAGAATGGCACCCACTGCAGTCTCTCCACGCGCCCCGCCTGCGCAGATCGCCAAAAAGATCGAGCGTTCGTCAAAGGCGGCCGGGTCGAAAGCAGAGCAGGTCAAGTTTGCGACATTCGACGTCACCGACCAGGTCTTCTACCGCTCGGCGGACAAGTCTTGCTATGCCATCGTCAACCTCAAGCCCATCGTTCCAGGGCATATCTTAGTGGTCCCGACCGAGCCGTATCACCGGCTCTCGCAGGTGCCGCCACAGGTCATCGCATCGCTTTTCCAGAGCGTGCAGGAGATCTCTCGCGGACTGGAAAAGGTGTTTGAAGCGGATGCTGTCACCGTCAGCGTCCAAGACGGCGAAGCGGCCGGCCAGACCGTGCCCCACCTCCATGTACACGTCCTCCCACGCAAGCAAGGTGACATTACGCCGAACGACCTCGTGTACGAGCATCTGGAGCAGTGGGGATTCGATACGGCCAAGCTGCTCAAGCAAAGCGACAATGCCGAGTCCAAGTTCAAAGTGGATGCGGATGAGGACAGGAAGCCGCGGTCGAAGGAGGCCATGCGACAAGAGGCGACCTTCCTCGGATCCATCTTCACAGCGGATGGAAAGTTCGACGCGAGCCGAGTGGACGGTGTGCGATCGACGGCAGCCAAGCGCGCTGCCACCACCGCTGCGCCCGTTCAGCAGAAGCGTCAGCGTATGGATCGCCTCCCTGTCACTCTGCTCAGCGGATTCCTGGGCGCCGGCAAGACCACGCTGCTCGAGCACATCCTCACGTCGCGCGATCACGGACTGCGCGTGGCGGTGGTGGTCAACGACATGGGGGCGCTCAACATCGATGCATCTCTGCTCTCCAACCACCGCGTGACACAGGCGGAAGAGAAGGTGGTGCAGATGCAGAACGGCTGCATCTGCTGCACTCTGCGCGGTGATCTTCTGGAAGAGGTGGCAGCACTTGCAGCGAACCGCGAGATCGACTACCTTGTGATCGAGAGCACGGGCATCTCGGAGCCCATGCAGGTGGCCGAGACGTTTTCGGAGGAGTTCGCCGACATGTACGTGCAGATGGCCGACGATCTCGAGGCCGAGATGCGCACAAGCCCGCAGGCGAGCACCGAGAACCAGAAGGTGGCGGAGATCCTCAAGCAGGGCGGCCTGCCTGCGGTGGCGCGCCTCGACACGTGCGTGACGGTGGTGGACGCGGTGAATCTGTTCAACGACTTTAACACGACCGAGTTCCTCGTGGACCGCCACAAGGATGACCACGAGGTGCCCGAGGAGGACGATCGCAACATCAGCGACCTGCAGACCGACCAGCTCGAGTTTGCCGATGTGATCCTCATCAACAAGTGCGACCTGGTGCGCGAGGAAGAGGTGGAGCGCATCCGTGCTTTCGTCCGCCTGCTCAATCCCGAGGCCAAGATCATCGCGACCACCAAGAGTCGTGTGGATCTCGAGCAGATCCTCAACACGGGCCTGTTCAGCTACGAGAAGGCGGCGCTCGGTGCGGGTTGGCTCAAGAGTCTCAATGAAGAGATCAAGCCCGAGACGGACGAGTATGGTATTGGCAGCTTTGTGTACCGCGCGCGTCGGCCGTTCCACACCGCGCGTCTCTGGCAGACGATCCGCGAGGTGTTTGTTGTTATCCAAACCGAGTATATCGATGACGGCGAAGACAACGACGACGAAGACGATGCTCAGTCGGACTCGGAGAGCGAAGCACAGTCCGAGGGTGACGACGACGAGGAGGAGGCTCAGCCGCAACTGAATCCGCAGGCGAGGCTGCAAGCCAAGAACGCGAGCGAGACGTTTGCGCCTCTGCTGCGCTCCAAGGGATTTGTGTGGCTCGCGACGCGGCCGATCATGTTTGGCGAGTGGTCTCAGGCGGGCATCATGCTCACGCTGCAGGGCGGTGCACGCTGGCGCTGCGAGCTGGGCGAAGAAATGTGGCCGCAGGAGCCCGAGATCGTCGAGGCGATTAAGCGAGACTTTCAAGAGCCGTGGGGCGACCGCAGGCAGGAGATCGTCATGATCGGCAAAGACATGCGCCACGGCGCCGAGCAGATGCTGCGGACCGCGCTCGATGCGTGCCTGCTCACCGACGACGAGATGCAGCAGTGGTCTGCCGTCATGAATGATCCAAAGCTGGCCAGTATCAACGAAAAGCAGGAGGCGCTGCAGCAGCTCTTCGAGGACGGCTTCGAGGACTGGATGGACCACGAGGATCCCGACGCCCACGAAGGCCACCATCACTAGACATACTACTGTAACCAAACTCAAAAGTGAGACCAGCCCGTCCCCCAACCAGAGGGATCGGCGCTCACACATCCATCCCGTAGCACATGTGCCCATCGGCAAATGAATAAAGCTCGTTGATTCCCAGCCCGGCGTTTCGTACAGTCAGGCTTGCATGCGCGTGTCGCATTGCAGGCTTGTTGCTCTTCGGCGTTCGCCGTCGGAAAGATGCACGAGTCGAGACTGCGTTGGCCGGGGTCGGTGATGACTCTACTGACTGCAGATGCAGCGGGGTGGAGTGCCATTTTTGGAAGCCTTGCACAGCCCGTCGCTCCGGGCCGTGCCGGGGGGGGGGGGGGGGGGGGGT